ATTTTAATAATTGGGGAAAGTGACCGCTGTTATTCGCTTGGCAATAGTATAATCTGTCATAAAAATCCTCACGAGCCAAAGGACTTCACACCAAGGAAAATATATTTGCATTCTTGGAATATTCGATTTTTCAGTACTGGCATAGTATTAGGTGGGGTTTGTTTTTAAAAGGCCCCAGAGGAAAAAATCTGGGAGAGTTAGGTCCAGAGACCTTGCTGGCCATTCTATTGCACCAAATCCTTTTTTAGGGTGAGGTGGACTTCCGTTGCTCCCGAAAGCAGCAAAACTCTATTTGTATTTAGAATGATCACAATTTCTAGAGGATGAAGACGACAATCCAGTTAAATTTATTTCTTATTTCTCAAAATATGGGATTTATATTTTTTTTCCAAGAATTTCTCCCCAAACAATAACTTTGCGCTGAAGCTGATAATTTAACTGGATATCCGAACGTTGAACTTTTATAAAATGTGATAGAGCCACTCATCATATATTTTTAATCAAGCCAAATCCAGAAAGAGTGCAATAGAATGGCCAGCAATATCTACAGATCTGATTGCACCGGACTTTTTCTTACGGGTTCATTTGACTACATTTGTTTACAGAGTCCCACCTAATATTGTCCAAGAACTATATGATCGCATATCACAAGAATACAGGCACATTTTTTCGTGAAGTTTGATCATATTCGTGAATAATTTCTTGGCAGAGACTTTTCCAAAGTTCAACAGTTCCAAAATGCAGTAAAACCGTCAAGTTTTCAAATTTCCAGATAATTTTGTTAGTTAACACTTCTGTCTGAACATGAGACGTTTTCTCAATCCTGAATCGACCATCCGAATTTTATTTTTCTTGCATCAACGGATGTATAATTTTATTCAACTTGAGATGCTGAATCACTCGGTGGGGAGAGCCATTTAAATTTTTAGGCGATATTTTTTGAGCGCAGGACTGACTGTTTCCATTAAATTGAACATGCCAGAAAAGTTTTCCTTCGTTATCTAAGTAGACATATTTTTTGTATTTTGTTTAGTAATTCAAATTTAATAGATATTAAAAATAGTTTGTGTTGAAATGAAAGCCCTGTTTGAATGACTAAATTTGAAACAATATACAGGAGTAGGCAAATACAAAATCTTTATCGACACATAGGTGGAACATTACAATTCAAAAAATTAAAGAACCCTTGTGGATGGTCTCGACATCCACTAAATAGTTGCTATTTATACAAGCCCACCAATAATTAAACACTTTGCACACAAACCACCATAAGGGGCAATCGCAAGACATGCACAGATCATCTCAAGCATAACTACGTTATTCCCGCTCAGTAATAACACAATGGCTCGTAAAAAATGACTTCTTTAACAAAAATGGAATTTTATTCCTTTTCTGTTCTATTAAAGCATACATTTTCCAATCACACAAAACTCGAGTTTCAAAAAGTCAGGGTCAAAGGTAATAGCTCTTTGAGATGCCATTTCAACCACAGTGAAATAGGTTTATTCCAAATAAAACATTGGAAAACGCGCCTAAACTTACAAAGTTTTCCTATAAAAAATTAGTTGTTTACAAATGTTTGATGAAGAAGCAGACCAGCATCTAATCAACCAAGCAGACACTTTTTATGCCTAATTTTGCCAAGGTTACATTTGTAATTAGTTCTTCAAAGTTTTCTTCAAAACTTAAGAGTTCTAACACTGTTTATATAGACCAAATCTATATGACAAGAGTTTATATGAACGAGAGTGTTAATTATTACAAACAAGTTGAATCTGTTTGCAAATTAACTGCCAGAGTAATTAAGGTACGCATAAACAATTATTAAGATAATTTGGAGTTAGTGACATAGAATGGAGCCTGTGAGAAACCATTTAGAAGGTTCGTGCCATGAGTAAGTAAGTAATAGTTCAGGAAAGGCTAGATCCTTAAAGTTAGATAAAATCTGTACAGTTTTGTCAAAAAAAAATTCTTTTAACATCAAACCGTGCCGTCAGAGTCAAATAATGAAAATTTGAAATTTAAGTAAGCTGGTCTTATGTTCGGAATTCATTATAAAAACGTAAACTCAACAAGTAGGTTGAAGTAAACTAATCTGTTGGTTGATCAGCTATTTTGAAATAATCTTTCATTCAAAAAATTAAAAAAATTGAGCCTATCTGCAACTATTGGTATCGTTGATACGCTCTCATAAGTATCATTTTGTAGAAGTTTTACTTATTTGTCTTTCCCTGAGAGGAGTGATGCCGGATGGACATAATCAAATAAACATACCGAACGAGTCTAAACACTGCGTGTGTAAAGTTTACATTAGACATTCCGATATTTGAAATAATATTTTCCGCAGGCTACCTAAATTTGTTGCGTAATTAATAGTAATCGTTTCCAGATTTTGTTATTATACCTACTTTCTCTCTGCCAACAGTTAAATCAAGCAAGGAGTCGCAACCTAAACAATTTACTTGATTCAATAATTATAAAACGTTTATTTTACTGAACGATTTAACAGGCGATTTTACCATTTTTTATTTAAACCAGTATTTCAGTAAATTACCTTGACCAGTAAACATATTATTTCTTATTTTAGAACCTGCATTGCATTTTGCCTTTTTGTTTTCAATAACATTCTATAAACAATTTATGTTTAAACAAAATGTTTATGTTAAAAAAAAATAATACGGATGTTATGAGCAAGCAATAGCAAAAGCAAAATATGTGCATATTTCTGCTCTTTAATATTTATAATGTGTAGTGCTAATTAAACACTGTCCTTTTGATAAATAAGACTTTGGAGTAGACTCCAATATTTATTTGAATGTTTCAATGCCACATTAGTTATTTTCCTAACAAGTGTGGAAAGATATACTTGGTGCGGAAAGGTATACTTTTCTGCACGCGATTGCTTTAGCGCGAAAGACACGAGCTGAAAAGACATACTTTTTCACGTCGCCTGTTAGGAACAACTTTTTTAGAACAAACATTAATTATTTAATTGTTATACGTAATTTATTACGGTTCGATGATTGCAAATCCTAATAAGTGTAAATATAATTTTTGGTATTTTTGGTTGGGTAAAATATATTGAAATGTTTAGGTGCATTTGAATAGTTTGAAAAGCAAATTTGTCACAGTTGTTACCCGCCGGCTGAAATTCTTTACTTGAGCTTGCAATATTAGTTTTTTTTATTATTGGCCTACTATATTTCGGAAACAATTGGGCGTCGAAACTCGGGCAGAAATGCTCCTCTACTAAAGTGATCGTGATAAAATCAGTATTAACTTGGTTCATTACAATATACCTTTGGTAACATCATTAGAAAGCTTGTATAATTCTAGGTCGTTTTAGTCTCAAGCGCATTGACGTGCCGGCCTTGATAAAAGTGGGAGAAACTACTGAAAGTGCTATTATTTAATT